GCTATTTTTAGCATATAATTCACAGTCAAGGTCACAAGGTTATTGACCTTGGTGTCATTTGAAAGAGCTTAATTAGTGGAGTACGCATACTAAATATGAAGTCTCTATCTCTCACAGTTCAAAAGTTATGCAGAGATTAAAGTTGACGACAGATAAACAGACAGAAGGACAAAACCAATAAACGCAACCAATCTATCGACTGGATGCATAAAATGATTTTCAGATATTAAGAAATATACTAGGTAATCAAAGAATATGAAACTCATTGACATATATTATCTACATGTAAGACATCCCTAAATGCAAGTTTGGGCAGGGTAGATCCAGCAGCTGAAGCATACCTGGTTCTCCATCCTTATTATCGTTGGCTCAGGTAGGGTTTTATAGTTACTTGAGAATAAACTCTCTCCAATATTAAAACATTAGTCAGAATTTAGACACTGACGAGAGCTAAAAATATTTCTTACTATTATTTTTACCGTATTATTCATCTGCTATATTCCTCCATGACTCATTTTATTCTGCTTGTAATCAACAAATCTTTGGAACCCTGTGTATGTACATTTACTTTCTTTGGCAGAAATATTTTATTAAATACCTGTATGTTTTATATTGACTCAGATGTAAATAACACCAGAATAAATTTTAACAGAGGAATAATTATATAATGTAGTTATATAGTTTTCAAGCACATAAAATAGTCCATATCAATGCTGAAACTTCATTTTGAATACAATAAAAATTCAGAGAAAATGCCTAATTATAATATTTCAATATCATCTTTTGGCAATATTTATGTTCATTCTTTAATAATTTTCTTACTACAATGTAGTATATTTTACCTTTGGAAACCCCCACCCCGTTCCCCCAAAAAGGGACCCTCTTAAAAATTTAAGAATTAAGAGACTGAAAATAAACAATCAACTTCACTTTACTAAAAAAAATATTAACTTGATATAAGTTGAGTTTTGCACAGTTTTATTTCCAAATTAGGTAATACCTGCATAATATTTAATGAAATGATTGGTTATACAATTTCATCAACTAGTATTTATGCAATCAAAGCAAAGGTGGATCATAAAGTATATATGCTTGAAAAAAAAATTATATACAATAATGAGCATGAAGAATATTTATGATTCAAAAAAAAAAGAAAAATTTCATTTCAACTCTATCTAACACTGGAATATCTATGTTGTGGAGATCATTTACAAGATGTGCTCAAAATTGACACAAGAGTTTAATACAACCATGTCTGAGTGTATAATATAATTAATATCTACAGTAAAATTTGCTTTTAAAATACATAATATGCATTATTCAAGAATCTTAAGCTGAAACGGATACAACTACAGTATCAATACTTTAAAAAAGTGTTTTTACAAATTTCACAAATATTTTTACAAATCTCCTTTAAAAAGCATTTAGCACATCAATCTAATCCAGCATATGATACATGTATATGCAAAGAAACTCAAAAAGAATATAGATACATATAATACTTTTTAAATCTTTCAAAAATCTACAGAGAATGCATGCAGTTACTGCTAATTACTAGCATGTAACCTATTGAGCTAATTTCAGAACAGCAGGATCAAAGTACAAGTTAAAACAATACAATAAATCTGATTTTATCAACCATTCGATTCCTCTGTATTGTTATACATCTCCACTAAACTTTGCAGTCGCCTTTTGATTTTCTTCTGATCATCTATTGTACATTCAATGACCATTCCTTGAAACCTGTGGTCTATGTGGCCCTCCATAGGTTCTGTGAGACAGGCGTTTAGGTAAGAAATGGCTCTAGGGAGTGACTTTTCAATGTTAATGGTAAATTGATGTTCAATTTCATGCAGTAGTTTGTTCACTTTGTTTAATGCTGCTTCCTGTTCTTCAGATCTTGGTGTTATTACACCTATTTCCACAGTGAGACATCGGCAAACAAGTCTCTCTGCCATGGCTTCAATATCTTCTTTCTCAACTAGAATTGAGAAGAAAAAAAATCTCATGCAAGCAATCTTTGAAGTTTATAGTCCTTATTAAAGTCATCTTTACAAAAGAATCTAAAATTGGTTTGAACTAATATGCCTTAAATTCAACCTCTTGCAGGCAATCAGTCTGTCTCTTGTCCAGTTTAGGACTCTCTCTCTCATCTTATAATTCCAGAGTCAAATATTTTGGTATTGTGGTTTGTATTCACAGAACTTGCATAAACTTTGCATTCTTTTTTTTTTTTAATGATGTAGCAAAATTACCTTATAAAATTGAATACATATCTATATCTTTAAAAAGAGATGGACTCCGGCAAATGAACCAAGAGTATATTTCTATGAAATGGAAACGTTTTATGAAGAATTATTTATGAACAGCGTTGTCATTAGTAATCGACCAAGCCATATTACTTTAGAATTTTCTAGATCAAATGTGTCAGTTTAATTTTGCATATATTTCACAAGCTTCTAGCAAAACACAAAACACCAAATGTACATTGATTTAAAGGTTAATTAATTATCAAAATCTTCCCAGAATATACTCTACCTTCTACCTCTGGCATATTATGACTAGTTTTGTCCTGTATTCCCTGTAACATTGACAGTAGCACTTCTCTTTCTGTTTCCAATTTTGCAGCATCTTCTCGAAGTTTTTCAACCCGATTTCCTATTTCATCCAAACATTTCCAAACAAAAGGTCTTGTATCTTCCTTATCGGGGCTTCCAACCATCACAAACTGCTGATTGCAGTTCTTTTTGTTCATGTCTTGATAATGTTTATGTTTCGGCTGCCTACTTTCTCTCTTCTAATGGAACTTCGAACCCGATCACATTTAAAATGTTCTAGAACGTTTAGAAAACCAGGAAGAACAGCGCCTGCAAACAGGCAATGCTAAAGTTTTTTTTTCTCTGTTAAGCATCTACCCATCTTTAAAAAACCCACCAACCTATTCGCAAAAATAAATAAATAAATAAATAAAAACAGGCCTATGGGCCACAACGCTAACCCGAGTAACTTTGGCCTGGCTATCTTCACTAACAAAATTTCTCCCCTTGTAATACCTATTATGGCCACACCCTACCCCCTAGGGATCATGTCTATCAACAATTTAGAATCAAACAAGGATGATTCCTTTTAAGATTAAGGGTTTAGTGTATTTAAATGTATTTAGATCTAATGTTTACATGTATTTTACAAAGAAAGAAGAACCAAACTTCTAAACGAAGCACAGAATTATCATGAAAATTTTCATAGCTTAGATAGTTCTCAAAAATATTTTTGGATCATTACATTGTGAAAATATGAATGTCTTACTTCAAATGGAGACTATACCTTTCTAATATATCATTTAATTAATATGACATCATAAAGCACAACAACTTGATTTGTATGTATTTTACTTTAACACAATTTGCTTTGTATTTTTGTTTTTACCTCCTTATTGATGATGTACTGCCTTAAAAATTTGTCTACTAATGTTTATTACATTTTTACCCATGAAATACTATACACTTATCCACTGGTTGTGAGTGGGATAGCTCTTTTATCAAACCCGCGACAGAGAACTATTCACCGAGGGCTTGCCCGAGGGAAATAGTTCCTGTCAAGGGTTTGAAAAAAGCTATCCCACTCACAACCAGTGGATAAGTGTTTTATTATACTGATGTATATCATAATTTCTTAGGTTTGAATTTTCTTTGGTGTAAGATATAATGCTGCAAGAATGAGCTGAAATCCTGATGACGTCACAATGCTACTGAAGTCATTATGACATCATCAGGCTATGGATTTAACGCTGGAAATTAAAATTGGCGTCAAAAATTGCATGAAAATTTTCCGAGGGGTGGGTAGCAAAAACTATACCCCGGGGTATAGCTTTCTGTGGGGGGAAATTTTCAGACTATGAAGAATAGTTATTTTACCCTCTGAACTTTATATAGGAAGCATTTTAACAGAAGTATAATAATGTAATTTATTCATTGAATAAAAATGATATCCTGTCACAGTGTGAAAGGATATCAAAATGATATCCTGTCACAGTGTGACAAATATCAGAAGTTCGGGAAAACTCTCGATTTCCCTTCCAATAAAGAAGACTGTTGTAAAGAAAATCTTCCTTGACCTAAGATAAGATAGATGGAAATGAATAAACCATTCTGACAGCGAAAAAACTGTCAAAATTGCCAAAAATATGTTGCTAAATCCATGTTTACAGTGTTTTCACCTCACTTAGCTATGACGTCTCAAAAGCTTAACTATGATGTCATGTAGCCTACAACTGTATTACAAAAAGACAGAAGCAAAGGAAAAATCAAATTTTTTTTAAAATGTAATAGACAGAAAATTCAATGTTTTGTAGTTGAATATGGAATTTATTTCACTTGTGAGACAGGATTTTTTGATATTTTCACTCGTGCTTCGCACTCGTGAAAATATCAAAAATCCTGTCCCACTCATGAAATAAATTCCATATTCAACTACAAAACATTGAATATCCTCTATATCTTTCATGCCTCTCTAGGCCTTTGATTGCATGGAAATAAAATATTGTCTATTGTCTACAATGTATTTTAAAGTGAAAATTGGATTCCCTAGGGTAGCCCCACCCTATCCCTAGGGTCATGATTCTAACAATTTAGAATCTACACTACATAAGGATGCTTCAAAAAACTTAAAGTTTTTCTGGGAAAAAATCCTGTATATTTCAATGTGAAAACTGGATTTCCTATTGTGGCCCTGCCAGGTGCCTTGCCACTGGGGGTTATGGCTTCAACAATTTAGAATCTACACTACACAAGGATGATTCCAAAAAGTTTCAGTTTTTTCAGCCCTGTGTTCTTGAGAAGAATTTTCAATAAACCAACCTATTTTTGTCTTTTCTTAATTACCTCCCCTTGGACAGGGGCTTTGCCCTTCATTTTAACAATTGATACTTTAAAATGGTTCTGCTCTAAATGCCTTAATCTGTTTACTCATCCAAATGTAGATGATAAAATCCAGCATCTGAAGCAAGACTGGTAATGTTAATCCCTTGATGCAATGTCCCCGCAAGTTTGTCAAGTTTAAAATTACTTCTGTGATCTGGGAACTCAAAAATTTAATGAATTCCTTCTACATATAAAACAAATTACGGATAAAGTGAAGTAATTTCATAGGTCCCTGTGACTTCCTTATAACTGAGTTTTTCTGTAATCCTAAATGCAAAAACACATATAAATATCTTTATTCAGTTTTTATAATTTTATTGTGTCCTACACAAACTCATCATACATTATACATTTTATTAAGTACATGTATACCGGTATCATAATGATCCACATTATCCTGTCTAGTTTCACCTTCTCAGTCTTAAGAAAAATGCATGTTTACATTCCTTTGAATCTTCAGGGTAATATTTATCATAAAAGTCTAGAATAAACTCCTCAGGCTTGAATCCAAACTTCTGGTACATCAACATGGCCGAGTTTGTGGCTGATACATGTAATGTCACATCTTTTCCCATACAGGTCTGTAAATATATTATAACATGTCTTTAACCATATGACTTTGAAAATACCCTTGTATCACGACTAAATATTATAATTAATCAATGCTGTTTTCTAGAAAATTACTTCTTTACATTTTGATACCAAAGAGGATACATGTTAATGAACTAAAAATACTAGATTGTGCAATAAATATGTTCAAAATTTCAAAATAAACTGTTAAACGAGAAAATCTGGCGCATACGTATTTTAGCACAAACGCAAGTGGGAATGCATTGGTGCAAATAAATTTTAGCGCTTGCACTTGTCAGTAAAATATGTGATTTTTTTATCCACACCTATTTGAATTTTTGGTTAGTCGAGCACGGAAACACATAAGTACTCACATTTATCAGTAAACATTCGTTAACTTTACTGCGGTACGTATTGCTATCACATGGACGTGGTACGTTAAAATTTATTTTATTTCTATTTTCAGTTAAAAGAAATGGAGTATTTACTCATTTAAATCATATTAAAACAATGCATGCATGGACAGAAAATTACTTAGATCAGGTATTGTCTGCAAGCTCAATCGCCATGCTTGATTGCATTGTTTACCTCGAGGTCATCGATAGATGATTGACAAGCTGAGAAGCCAAACTTTGAAGGTGCTACTGATAATAATCGGGTAAGAACTACCGGGGTAACAATAGTTCAGTTAAATTATAATTTGGCAGAACTTTCTGTCTTCCGAACATGTGCAGTGCTTGTGTGTATATAAAATTCAATGACCCTTTGACATTACGTAATCCCGTGTACCGGTTTATATGTACTTATGTAAAAGCTTAGAACACATACAAAAAATGCTATTTAGAAATCCTTTAGTGCAAAATAAATTTTTGCGCACAGGGGCTCTTGCGCCAAAGGCGCTAAAATTAGTAGTGCACCAAGTTTTCTAGTTTTACAGTATATATATTTATAAAATTCACTAAAGGCTTGTGTAATAATCCCTTTTTTTAACTTAAGTATATTATCAGGTATTTACTAACTTGTATAAGATGGTAGAGCATGAATTTAGCAATGCCAGCCCTTCTCCACTCTGGGTGAGTAAAGATGAAGGAAATGTAGGCCTCATTAAACTTCACATCAGGAACCATGAAAGAAAACCCTATCACAATTTTCCTGCAAAAGTAAATAAGTAATAAATTTCAGTTTTGCTTTATATACCTGGGTATTGAACATGAAACTGTATTCATGAAACATAATGCTTGATGAGGCACTCACTGACAGTTTGGATTTGTCACTGAATAAAATATATCACCCTAGCCTTAAGATGTATGAAAGTTTTGTTTTTCGATATTTAAAAAAAATCATCAAAATGTGTTCAGAACAAAATACAATATGTCAACTTGCTATAAATAGCAGTCAGAATAGGTAATAGATGTATTCTACTTTTACCTGAATAGCACCACACAGCTGAAGTCTGGATACTGTAAACACTCAGACACTAAAAATAAACCAGAAGTCTCTGATGAAACTGTATCTCTACTAGTTCGTGCTTACAGTAGTGGAAGAGAAAAAAAAATGTACATCAGATCCCACATCAGATGTTTGCATGAACTAAGCAGTGAAACCGAATGATACATAGATGGGTATAATATAAATAGAATTATGTATCTTAATGCCAGCTACTGATTTCCAATTATTGAACAAGATGCCAGAGAAATTAAAACCAAGATAGGATATCTGACACTTGACCATCACCAAAGATAGTGTAATAATTCACAACTACAAGATCTCTCTCTCTCTCTCTTTTTTTTTTTTTGAAATACCGGGTATACACTGTACAAATATATTTTTTTTATTTATAAAAATTAAGGAAGATATCTTATAAATATCTTTAATATGCTTAATGCATACTAACAGTCTATTCCAGGCCAGAAGAACTCTCTACACAGTGTGTTGACGGAGGGTATGTGTTGTGGTCGTACATAACAATAGTCAATGGGAGGGGGTGGTAGAGGTTTCCAATCTTGCTTGTCTCTACAACACAAAAGCAGGATAAATAAGATCTGACGTTTACTAATTCAGTATAATTTTATGCACTGTGTAAACACAAAATCAACTTGTGAACTTTAGGCAAATGATTTATTCAATGTTAATAATTTTAAATTGTTTGGTATTTTTGCTGCTGATTATGATGTGTATTGGTAAATTAAGACTCTTTCCTGTTTATTCAACGAATACATGTGATACAGCTTTAGTTAGCATTGCTGCCTGTAATTAATCTTGTATCACTGATTGATGACAGACCAAACTAGAAAACTGACCAGTCAGCAAGGGCCCCGCCATGGGGTAGAATTAAAAGGGTGCAGCTTACAGAATGATTAATAAATGTACAAAGAAAAAGCAACAGCAACTGTATTCTTAAAATTTCAACATAATTCCTGAATATTCAAAAACCTGAAAATAATATTCTTGTATTTACATTAGGCAGTAAAGAACAACTTAACATTGAATTTATATTTAAACAATTATGAATCTTGTGTTATATAAAATGCCAGCCTTCAATGAATGCAAATATCATGAAGGCTTGACCTTAACTTCAAACAAACAGCAGTTGCAGACAAAGGTTTTCATTAATCTTAAAGTGACAGATAAAGAGAAGCCTACTAAATTTTCTGCAGCAGGCTAGATAATTAATCCCAAGGGATTAATTGTACCTCTCTCATCATTTTCTTCTAAAGTTACAATAAGGACTTTTTTCAGTATTAATGATAGAACGGAGTTTTTATACAACTACATTAAAAATTAAAAACATTCTTGAATTAATATATTTAAAAAAAAAGGAAAAAAGTGAAAAAAAAGTACCCTGGTAAATCAAAAAATCTTCTTTAATCTATTTGTTTTTTTAGGATTCAATGAAATCATAACTATCAAACAAAAATAAATAATAAAAATTTATATTTAAATCCACATATCAGAGTATTTCATAGAATTCCAAATTGATTTAACTTCAAAACAAACTTCATTTGCAGACAGAGGTGGTAATTAATCTCAAAGTGACAGATAAAGATAATGCTCTGGAATTTCTTCAGGAGGAAAGCTAATTAATCCCATGGGACCCCTAGTAGCATTCAGTTTACTGAATGGGAACATCTTCAGCAGTTATCTCTCTTTGCCAATGCATTCTTATATAAAGTTAAGGAATCTACCCCACCACCCCAGCTCCAAACCAAGGGACATAGAGAACCAAACTTAGCATCAAAATATGTATTTTTGCCTACTGAACTACCGTACCAAATTTGATCTTAATTGGGCAACCATAAAAAAAGTTGCCCGTTCATTCTTATGCATAGTTTAGGAATCTACCCCACCACCCCAGCTCCAAACTAGAAGACATACAGAATCAAACTTAGCATCAAAATATGTCTTTCTGCCTATTAAACTACCATACCAAATTTAAACTTGATTGGGCAACCATAAAAAAAGTTATTAGAAAAAAACAGAAAATTTGTGGACGGAAGAGTGACAGACGGACAGACAGACAGACAGACGGACGGACGGACAGACAGACAGAGTGATTACTATAGGGCACCCGCAAATCCTTGCGGGGCCCTAATAAATCATTTTAGCTGACCTGTGTGGATATTTTGGCTAACCTGTGTGAATATGCTTTTATTTCTTCTAATAATCTCATTTTCAGGGGACGAGACTCATAATCTCTTCTTATGAATGGCTTCAGCATCCTGAAAAAGGAAATCAAGTTATACTAACAACTACTCAGAAGTCCAGAGAAGACATTTTCATGCATTTATTCGGCACAGGACATCTGTGCAGAAAAAGTGGGAATTTGCAGAATTAAAATATTTTACTGTTTGAACCCAAAAAAAAAATGGTTAAAGGTTTTGTGTAAATTTTCTTTTTTTTTAAATCTGACAGTTAAAATTTTGCATGAGCACTATTCCATCAAACAAATATCTTCTTTTTTAAAGAGTAAAAAAATATCCAATTCTTTCCAGTCAGGAAAAAAGTTAACAAAATGATGGAAGAAGAGAGAAAGAGGTAACAGTAACACTATTTGTTTGGACCATTTCAAAGTGGGGGCATAAAAGGAAAATTGCTCAAGATATACAATGTGAACATTGGTTTTTATTTCTTTGCCTTGTCTGGCAGCAAATAATTTTGGAAGAGATCTTTGTAGTATTACTCTTTTTAAAGATGTAATACAGTTTTCACCCATGTGTGTAGTGAAGAAATAATTTATATTATAAGGGGTGTTAAGAAAGTTCGTTCCAGGATGAAATATTTTCAAAATTTTCAAAGTAGTACTTAAGTAAAGAGATGAATTTTCAAGTCTGACAAAATCACAAGAGTTTGCTTTAGATTTATAGCAATTCATTTCTAGCAGAAAATTATAGGATTGTTCTTCCTTATGAAAATATATATAACATCTTTAAAGCACCCGAATGATAGAAATGCAGGTCATTTTGAGTGAAAATTTACTTTTGTTTCTTCATAGCTTGCATCAGACAAGCTGATGAGTCTAGGTATAAGACTAATAGATCACTTTTCAAAAGAATAGGAGTGTCATTTTGAAATTTTTCACAGATTTGATAATTTTAGTTAGTATTTGAAAGGATGTTTTGACTTGTGTGCTTAATATATGTAACAAATATACGTCATCCCTAATTTTTCAGAACAGACATAATCTGTTTTATTACCTGCCTTCCCCTTATTGATTGAACAAAAGATAGTTAAAACATTATCAGTAGCAAGAATGGAATCTGTCAACATGAAATATCCCAAATTGTAAACATCGTCTCATCGTACTTCATTTCGAAAATATGAGAAAAATGTGGAACGAACTTTCTTAACACCCTTTACAATGTAATATGTTGGTATATATTATGTAATAGTATTAGATTTGTATAATAAAGTTATAGAACTTGCCAGAATATTTATTTTAACTTTTATTTAACTTATTAAAAACTTAGATCCACTCCTTAGTTCTCCCTTACCTGTATTACCTGTACATATTTGTATATACCCCAGGGCATTGATCAGGTATTTTGGCAGTGATCTTTGTGATTTTGGTTTTTATTGGTTATTGATTTAAAAGTTTGGATTCGATTGGTGTTCTTGACTGGTCTAGAGTTTTCCCGCTTTATTATGACCATTCTTTGTTCTATGGGTTAATCAGACCAGACATTAGACATAAGACTTGAGACTGAAGAATTCCTTCTCTGGTAAGTTACTAATATTTTCTTATATTAAATGTTTATCCTATAGTATGTAAAAGCCTTTTCCATTTGCACATACTAAATTGAATATATGATTTTTGAGAGAAAGTTATTTTATGATGTAAATTTATTATTGGTTACAAGATCAATATGAAGTATTTTCTAGAAGTAATTTGAAGTTAATCAGATTATATGTTTTTATGATGATCAAAGATATTTTTGATTATATTTTTAAGCATTATTGTATTAAATTACAGATCACCATTCATATAGATATACATTTTGTCAGTCAGACAATTTATTGGGAAAGCCTGTTCCCACAGAATGGTGAGATTTATATGTTTTATCTTGGATATCTTTTTATGATTATTTTGGGAGAAATATGTAGATTTATATATTCAAGAGTTATCTCCCTTTGATAATAATTTGACTGTGTAAATTTAAGATGATAATCTATTATCTTTATGTTACATGTAAAAGTAATGATTGAACATGATGTGTGTGATATTTACATTATATTTATTGTTGTTTTATGATATTTACAGGGCTATCTATGTATATTCCATAAGTCACTCCACTGTGAATAAATATATTCAAAGAACCTGACAGGAGTTTGTGTGTCATTGCCATACCCCCTGTATCTCTAGTCAGGTGCTCTACCTACTGAGCTATCCAGGCCGATATCCACGGCCCTAACCATTACATTCCTCCCTCCTTAAAGGTCTTTGGCCCTCCAAAGACCCCAACCCAGGCTCATCCCTGGCAGGTCTTTCACCTGTCAATTCCAGGGCATGGCACGGCACCAAATCTGTAACAGGAAAGGAGAAAATGCATGGCTGGACCGGGAATCGAACCCGGGACCCCTGTATCTCTAGTCAGGTGCTCTACCTACTGAGCTATCCAGGCCGATATCCACGGCCCTAACCATTACATTCCTCCCTCCTTATAAGTATATAAGTGAAAGTCCTGCCAGGGGCAATAAGAACTTGGGTTGTGTCTTCGAGGGCGAAGACCATTTAAGGAGGGAGGAATGTAATGGTTAGGGCCGTGGATATCGGCCTGGATAGCTCAGTAGGTAGAGCACCTGACTAGAGATACAGGGGGTATGGCAATGACACACAAACTCCTGTCAGGTTCTTTGAATATATTTATTCACAGTGGAGTGACTTATGGAATATACATAGATAGCCCTGTAAATATCATAAAACAACAATAAATATAATGTAAATATCACACACATCATGTTCAATCATTACTTTTACATGTAACATAAAGATAATAGATTATCATCTTAAATTTACACAGTCAAATTATTATCAAAGGGAGATAACTCTTGAATATATAAATCTACATATTTCTCCCAAAATAATCATAAAAAGATATCCAAGATAAAACATATAAATCTCACCATTCTGTGGGAACAGGCTTTCCCAATAAATTGTCTGACTGACAAAATGTATATCTATATGAATGGTGATCTGTAATTTAATACAATAATGCTTAAAAATATAATCAAAAATATCTTTGATCATCATAAAAACATATAATCTGATTAACTTCAAATTACTTCTAGAAAATACTTCATATTGATCTTGTAACCAATAATAAATTTACATCATAAAATAACTTTCTCTCAAAAATCATATATTCAATTTAGTATGTGCAAATGGAAAAGGCTTTTACATACTATAGGATAAACATTTAATATAAGAAAATATTAGTAACTTACCAGAGAAGGAATTCTTCAGTCTCAAGTCTTATGTCTAATGTCTGGTCTGATTAACCCATAGAACAAAGAATGGTCATAATAAAGCGGGAAAACTCTAGACCAGTCAAGAACACCAATCGAATCCAAACTTTTAAATCAATAACCAATAAAAACCAAAATCACAAAGATCACTGCCAAAATACCTGATCAATGCCCTGGGGTATATACAAATATGTACAGGTAATACAGGTAAGGGAGAACTAAGGAGTGGATCTAAGTTTTTAATAAGTTAAATAAAAGTTAAAATAAATATTCTGGCAAGTTCTATAACTTTATTATACAAATCTAATACTATTACAATTATCAAAGTACAAAGCAAAAAGACTTGTTTTTACATATATTCATTTTCAGCATCTCATATTACTTTGCATGCTAGAGGTTAACTCTGAGATACCTTTGACTAGGTCCAGCATACATAGGGAGCATAGGGATGTTAACCAAAGTTCTTACTCATAGGAGTACATCTCAAATTTGACTTTATTTACAGATTTTTTTTTTAACATGCTTTAGTTTTACATTGACAGATTTTGTATGAGATCAGACCTGGAGGTATAAGGACTCCTGATGCTGGTCAGCTGATCATCATCTGTTCCAATCAGTCGATTGATGAAAGTGGGCTGCTGTAACCTCACCATGTGGGAAACTAAGGGCGCCACCTACAGACAGGAAAAGTTAAAGTTAGAACTTCTTTGCTCATGTTAACCAATGTAGGCAACACTGGATAGCAATTCCTGTAAAATGTTTACCTGGAAGCGATCCAGCACTCTGCTCTCTCCTGAGGACAGGTGAGATGTGGGCACACCTTTTGGGTTGTATTCTTTTTCCTGAAAAAAAGAAACAATCATATCAAAAACTATATTTTATATACATTGTACTGTAAACCAAATTTTATTCATGTGCGAGGTAAACCAAATTTTATTCATGTGCGAGAAATTTTCGCGAGATTCCCGAGAGCTCCGTCATCGCGAATATTTCTCGTTGCGAACCAGTCCTTAAAGTGTATGTGCCTATTAACAACAGATCCAAAATAGGCTCAATCGCAAAAATTAATAGTCGCAAACTAGTTTATCCCCGGTAAATCGCGAAATAAAGTCTTCGCAAATAAAAGTTGGTTTACAGTATGTGCACATGTACTGTACAGCTGTATTCTGTTTCAAGCACATGTATATATTAAGGAACAGTTTAGAATGAATTTACAAACTAATTTCTCCTACCTCATTTTCCCAGGAATCACCCCAGAATTTTTGTGCAAGTTGATTCATTTGAGCATCTGCATCAAAGACTGGAAGCCCATTCTCTCTTTGTTGCTGTAAATAAATTTAACTTTAAAGGAATAATTTTCAAAGCAAAACGTTCCTTGTTAATACTCTTTGGATCCACATCACGAAATTTTCACTATATGACAAAGTCTTATTAAAATACATACTACATATAAACATGCTTTTCTCTAAATTCATCAATGAAGGGTCTCCCTACAGAACTGTTCTTGTTACTTACCTGTCTGACGATAAGTTTTCGTCTCAGTCGATGAAGTTCTGGTGGCAGAGGACCTGCATCTGCAGCCATGTTCATCTTTTTCAACAACTGTCTTTCTTCATAAAGGCTCATTAAGTGTACCCTGTATCAAAACAACATGACCTTAGGAAAATAAGCTAATAAAAAAGCTATTATGTTTATTACAGATAACAATTTTATACAACACCAAAACCAACTTATGTGAAATAATATGTCCAGTTTGATTACATACTGTTACTGCAAAAAATATTAAATTATATGAAGACACTATTTTTCTCTTATTTTCACAAAAATGATCCTAACATGAAAAGTCAATCCTCATAAAACTTTCAACAGTAAACAACACTATCAGTGTATTCTGTTCACCTGGGAGGGGGTGGTTCTATGTTCTCCTTCCTGTCCTCCTCCCCCTGCCCCACCCTCCTCCTCTTCCTCTGTGCGGGCTGGCTCCAGGACTGTGAGGACGTCCCTGGCCCCTCCCCCTCCTCCTCGTTACTGTCACTCTCCGACTCTGAGTCCACCACGGACTCTTCATCGTCCGGATCTCTCGAGATTTCCTGTCTCTGGACTGGATCCACCTCTGGTTCTTTCTTTATATTGACTTGGAAAATCAGTTGTTCCTCCATGAAGGCACTTTGCTGAGACTGGAATGATGTTGAAGGTTTGTCCATTTGTTGTATTTGGGATCGTAAAGAAACCTCTGAGTTCTGACTGCTTGATATACATGTATCTACAATTCATAACTGAACCAATTAAAAATATTTATATCATCTAATCATACAGTACCGTATATCTGGGTTTTTTTCATGATGATCTATTTTTCGCATTTTTTGCGACCATTTTTAATTCGAAAAATATAAAACACGCAGAAATAATGTCAGCTATAATGTGACAATACCATTTAAGCAAAAAATCTTCAATCGTAAAAAATAACTTATGCAAAATAAAAACTGTTCTAATCTACCCCATTTTCGCAAAATTTCCAACACATGAAAAAAAAACGGATAATACAGTATTTACATTAATGAATTTATATAATTTACTTAAAACTTTAAATTCACTGTTTGGATACAAAACTAGACGAAAATTAATTTTTTATTGAGTAAAATTTATTCAATAAAAATATGGTAAATTGATCCTTTTTTCTCCTTTGTATAGTGGATATTAGTCAAAAAATAGTTAAGTAAAACAAGCGATAATAGAATCCTATGGTTTGTGGTTGGATATGATTTTC